GCCGTGCACCTGCGCGTTGCTGTGAGGACCCGCCGCAGCCCCTCAGTCCATCGATGGTCTGTTTCCAACACACCCACATCGAACTCAACACTCCCGCACCTGCCACTCCTTCCTGCCTGTGCCGCCACTAAATGGAGCCCACTGGACGCGCCTCCCCGGGGCAGACACGCAGGCCCTCCTCTCCTCCGACGTCTGGGGCCACAGGGCGGGCTCGGGCCACAGGGGCTCGGTGGACAGAGCAGACACTCCCGGCCCGACCTCACCGTCCTGCAGCGGACGTGGAGATGAGCAGGCAGCAGGCGCCTCTATGCAGCGCCATGTGTTTAAAGCGAGCCCCACGTCAGATCTAAGACTGTTTTGCTCTTTGCTTCCGTGGGCAGCTTTTCACTACCCGCTCCATGACGCAGCTTCCGCCACCCTCAGCTGCAGCTCACGTGCACCTCAGCTCTGCCAGCTGCTCTGTCCCCGGCGTCGTCACCAGTGCTAACGGGACAGAGGTGCAGCAGCCCTGGGCCACCCTGGGTGGCGTGCATGTGGGCAGGCAGGGCGGGTGAGCGACGATGGGACGGATCAGAGCGGAAGGCCTGTGCCGGGCCTTGGGGAGCTCTCTGTGGTGACCGCCTCGGGGGGAAGGCTCCGCGTGAAGGGTGGGAGATCCCACAGGCAGCTGAGGAAGGGGAAGCAGGGACAGGCTGTGGCCAGCTGTCCACAGCAGCAGGGCCCTGGGTGCAGATGCTATAGAAAAGGCCACAGAGACACAGATTCAAACCAGAGCAACAGGACAGAGACCCAGGACCCGGAGTCGGGGAAAGCAGGGACCACTTTTGGAAGCGAGAAGAGGCCTCAGTAGGACCACGGGGCCGGGGGGGAGCGGGGGGCAGCCATAGGACTGCACGCCACCTCCTGGGCCCGATGTGGGTGCCCGAAACCTCCGAGAACCACACCCCCATCGGAGGGAGCCGCGCGGAGAAGGCTGGCCCGGAGGGGCCTCGACCCTGGCCGCCTCCGCGGGGCAGGTGCCTGTCCCTGCCTCTGGCCACTGTGAGCCCTCCTCCCAGGGCGCCCCGTGGGCACCAGGGAGCCCCTTCTCCGGGGAGACACGCACTGTTCCCCACCTCCCGCTTCCTTTCCTTCTAAAAGGTGCAACTGAGTACGAGGTCTGGCTCTGGCTTTCTCTGAAAATCCTACGTCTTTTAAGGAAACAAACGAAGACCATCCTACCCACTCACCAAGGTTGTCTACCGCGTAATGGAAAAAGCACTTGAACTTGATGTGCTTGTTGCAGACGATGTCAGGGTTGGGAGTCCTTCCTTTCTCGTATTCATTTAGAAAATCACTGGAATGAAAGGAAACAACGTTCACTAAGTGTGAAAGCGCCCTCAGAGACACACCCGATCCGCGAGCTGCGTCTCTCCTTGTCTCACCAGAACCGCAGCTTTCACTAAGGGGGGCCTGGCACACGCCGTTGTCAGCGTTTCCACGGAACGTGTTTAAGGCGCTGGGACACCGGGGAGCAGCGAGTCCCCTCAGCAGGACACTCTGCCCTCACCTACAGCACCTGACCCACCTGGACCCAGAGGCTCCGCCGCTCAGGCAGCGGGAGGCAGTGCCCGGCCTGTTCCCTCTCCCCACAGGAGGCCCGGCCGGGCAGAGCGATGTTTGGGAACAAAAAGATGTACAACCTCGGTCCCTCCTGGCGGGATCCACGGTCAGTGGGGAGGAGGGTGTTACCTTGAAAAGAGGAAGCGGGGGCGAGTGGCAGGTGGGAAGTTCCAGAGCGTGAAAAGCTGCACTTCCCAGGAGGGACTGCCCTGGGGTGTGGTCGGAGGCTTCCCTTGCCCTTGAAACAGCAGAGGAGCAGGGAGCCCCTCACTGGGACACAGGGGGACAGGGAGCCCCTCACTGGGACACAGGGGGACAGGGAGCCCCCTCACTGGGACACAGAGGGACAGGGAGCCCCTCACTGGGACCACAGGGCAGTCGTGAAGACAAGTGCCCATGTGTAGCCGGGACTGTTGAAAGTGTGGCTGGACCTTGTTGCTAGAGGCAGGGTCGGGGCTGGGGTGGCGGGCCTGGCCCGGGCGGGGCCTCGGGGGGTG